AGGATATAGTCGATGTTTTATTAAGCCCGTTGAAGAGCGATTATCACTTGAAAGCTAGCGTTTTGTAATAAAATAAAACTCACTGTGAGAAAATATTTTGTAATTTTATAACTATACTTTTGAATAAAAACAAACCCGTGTATCAATGTATTAAAGTGGAGACAATAGGATCCCAAGGAAAAGTTCCTTTTCTAAAAGATTAATTCACCAATCTTTAACTTTCGGTCATGGAAGCCCTTCTACACAGGAGAAAATACGGTATTTCAATGCCCGAAAGCTGAGATTCGAATTAATCTTTTAAAAAAGTAACTTATCCCTGTAATGTGAAAAAACAAATGTGATATTGTACTGGGAGAAGGTTCATAAATTATGAAAAAGGCATCTCCTTATCGTGCAACTGAAAGTTACTGATGGCTTGCGCCATCTATCGGAATAAATATCAACTATTCTCGTTGATTTCTAATTATTCCAGAACGTGTCCAGTACGTGGTTAGCTTTTCTTGATTAATCAAGAATGGGTAATTGGCCAATTGTGGAATAATTATAAATCAACGAGAATAGTTGATATTTATTCCGATAGATGGCACAAGCCATCAGCAACTTTCAGTTGCACGATAAGGAGATGCCTTTTTAATAAATTATCCCTGTAAGCCTAATGTTTTTACTTTAAATAAACTTTTAAATTAGTTACAATCAATATTGTTAAATTAAGACCTACCTGTGATACTCTCACTACAAAGACATTCACATATCTTTCATGACGGAGGGATACCTTTTAGGGGATTTTCCTTTCCCGGTTGTAAGACTACTCGCACAAGTTAGAATACTTTCAAGTTTTTTTAGAGAAAACCACACCAAGATGCTCTGCGGTGAGGACCCGACTTGTACCTTCTGTAATTCAAAACTACAAAATGAAATCACTCACTATATTTTTGATTGCTCTGCTCTGAAAGAAGAAAGAAGAACCCTTATGCTCAAAACTGGGCAACTCTGTGCTTCACTTCCATCAATAATTGACAATATGACCCAGAATAAGTATATTGCTACGGCGTTTTATGGTTTCCACAAGTCCATATCTCAGAAGAAGGCCAAGTGATACTCACTCCTCACTTTCTTACTGCTACTCTTTTTGTGTTGATTTCTTGCTTCCCTCTTTCTTATTATTATATATATATTTTTTTTTCCTTTTCTTGTTTTTTTTTTCTTTCTCTTTTTACTCTGTATATATCGCTATTTCCGTTGTCTCACTGCTTTGTTCTTATGCATACCTCTGGTGAATCCTGTATAGGGTCAGTGACCCTAAATAAAGGCTTTTTTGTTGTTTGTTGTTGACCTACCTGTGTATCAAGACTTACCTCTATCTAGACCTACCTGTATGAAAATTTGAAACTATTATAGAGGCGTATGATTCTTTTACAAATTAAACAATTTCTACTGTCCTTACTGAAATGGAAAAATTAATGGGTGGGCCTTGCTCATCAGTGGTGAACCTTCCCAGCGGTTTCGCCAGTTTAATCTACCATACCGCTGGGAGGGTTCACGACTGATGAACCAGGTCCTCCCATTAATTTTCCATATCAGTAAGGGCAGTAGAAATTGTTTAATTTGTAAAAGAATCATACGCGTCTAAAATAGTTTCGAATTTTCATAACAGATGGCGCGCTAATGCATCATAACCGACCTGTATCAAGACCAAAATGTTCCTGTGTCCCGAGAGTTCCGAATACAATTTTAATAGGAACAAAACACCTTAATTAGAATCAATCACATTCAAAACCAAATCGGATTTAACGCTTATACCTCAAAATCTTCTATTCAATTTTATGTATTTTTAATTAAAAAGGCATATATTGGATCAAAATATCATTTATTTTACCAATATTTCAGTTGGCTGAACTCCAACCTTTATCAAGGTGTCATAACATATTTATTATTATAACACCTTGATAAAGGTTGGCGTTCAGCCAACTGAAATATTGGTAAATTAAATGATATTTTGATCCAATATATGCCTTTTTAATTAAATAATTATTTATGGATTGCTCTCTTTTCGAAACAATTTTATGTATATTCCAGTTAATCTAAAAAAAAAATGTATGAAATGCATAAAATTCAAATTGATCATATGAAATAATATAATGCTCTCTAAATGTGTATTCTTGTATCCAAATGGTAAGAAATATTGAATTATTCATTTATTCTGTTAGCGCCGATTGACCTTAAATAAAGATCCAGCTGTATTGAACACTTTCAAAATGTAATGATGTTCAAAATATTGATAGGTAACATTGGCGTAACTTTTTAAAGTTCGAAATTTGTAACTCTTGAGAAGTTTTGTAAACTATAGTGTGTGTTGTTTAATATAACACTGGCTCTCTCTAAAAAAATATAAAGAATTTTTTATTTTTCACTCTTTGAAAATAGAGTAATCCATATTTAATTAATTAAATAATATAAAGTCGTATATTGGATTTAATAAAAGATCTATTTGCAAATATTGATATTTGATAAAGGTTTGGCGTTCAGCCAACCGAAATATTGGCAAATAAATCTTTTATTAAATCCAATATATGACTTTTTATTATTTAATTTTTCTCTCTGTAAAGGTCAACGTATGTACCTATATTTGTGCCATATACGTCCATATTCGACCTGTTTGGATGAAATTTTACGCGGGTATTGAATAAGAGGAAGGAATTATTATCATAGTTTTGGCACTAGAATATAGAAATTTCTCATAAAATACATTGTATATTTTAATCCATAAAATGATGCTAACATATTAATACATTTCTATCATCATAGATAAAGAGGTAGATTTCTATCATCATTGTAAATCTACCTCTTTATCTCTCTAGCTATATCAAAGATTCCCAAAAATGTTCGTGCTACTGCCCATTTTGCAAGAAATAAGTTTTATAATCCGTTATTAAGTCAACGGAAATAACCTACAGGACATGTAACAATTGTCCCGGTGTGGAACTAACGCCTACCCACATGTTCTCATGTCCAGCAATGGCCGCAGCCTAACAGAAAAAAAAGTGACATGGACTTAGAACAGCAGCTTTACACACCCAAGATAGTGGACATTGCGACTTCGATGAGAGAGATACACAAAGACATCTCTTCATTAGATACGACAACAACAACAACGGCATGTGGAAGGCAAAGGGAAACTACAACATTGTTTCCCTTGAAGATTCTCAATGAATGGACCAACTGAACCAAGGCAAGATATTACCACCAGACAGACTGTATCTATGGAGCGATCTCTTTGGTGGAGCCTGATTGAAAAGATACGCCGTCTTAAAACTGGTGATTCTCCTGAAATAAAATAGAGCTGAAATGGATACACTAACCCAGGGGTCAGCAACCTGCTGCTCGCGAGCCACATGCGGCTCTTTGGATGTGAAGCTGCGTGTAGTACTTGCATAAATAAAAACTTTATTTATGTTAGTACTATTTATTATTGGCAAGGAAAAAGTTTTGTGACTCTTTAAAAACATTGAAATTTTGTAAATTGTATTTTTTTACTCTTCCACTCAAAAAGAGGTTGCCGACCCCTGCACTAACCTACTATTAGCAGTATTATCATATTGTTCGACTCCAAATTATGCTAAATACCTCCAATTCTCAGGCTTAATTTGCATATTTTAGCCGAAATTATAGCAGTTACTCATTCCAGGCCCAAACTCAATACTCCACCAAAGTTTCTCATCCGGATAGGACAAATATTGCTGAAGGAAACAAACACCTCCACAACCATTCCTGTTCTATGTCTATGTATAGTTTTACCGGTTGTAGAAATGATGGTAGGAATTCATTGAAATATTTACATAACTTTCCAACCACAAAATATGTAAATTAGTCTGCTATTGAGTTAAAATGAACACATTCTGGAGTCAAATTAGTACATTGTGGTGACTCCTTCCAACCATAACTTTATATACGATTGTAATTTCATCCAGATGGGCGAATTTTATTAAAATTATGCTGAACAAACACATAAACCACACCTCTAATATTTTATTTAAGATTTTGTTAAGAGTTTTTTTAAAAATTTCAATAAAATATTAAAAATAATTATCGCTTTGTTTATGTGAAAACAATGTTTTCCCCCACATTTATTTGTTTTATATGTAAATTAGAAGTGTGAATATTTTATAATTAACATCAATACAATTATAAACAATGAATAACAATATGATGATAATTTTAAAAAATAATTAGTTACATATATATTTCTATAAGCTCTAGTTTAGATCACGAAATAAACAACTTTCTATAGAGGTTTATAGCAAATATTCACTGGGGCAGAACTCAGGCGAAACCGTGTCATTCTCGCTCCCTCTCCCTTCTCTTATCGAGTAAAAGATGTTGTTAGTATCCATCACGTCAACCTTTGGTGACTATATGGGGACAAATATTCTACAATTTGATCGATTAGTGACCATTACTCCGAGATCATCTAGTGACCTTCCGGTAATTTCCTTGACCCTTTCTAGCCAGCTCATTGCAGGGTCTTCCTCTCTTCCTTCAAATTTTCCCAACATCAACTTCTATAAAACCATTTGCTCTCATTATGTGTTCTAAGTAGGTCAGTCTGTGTTCACATATTTGGTATTCTAGGGATCTAACAGGATTAATTTCATTTAAGAATTGAAATATTTGACCTTTTTTTATCTGTCTATGGCACTCTAAGTAGCTTTCTTCATGTCCATATTTCAAAGGGTTCAATTATTTTTCTTTCTTCTTTTCTGAGAGTCCAGCTCTCACATCCATAAGATTACCACAGAGAATTCTCCAATGCCTCTAAAATTCTCTACTTTGTCTTGAATGAAATACCTTTATATTTCAAATACTTGCTAATTTCATCATTGCGCCCCTTTCTAGTGCTATTCTTCTTTTTTACATCATCTAAGCAACCTCCTATCTTATTAATCCTAGATCCTAAGAATATGAAGAGTGATCAACTCGGAAAAATCGAACGTAAAAATATGTCCAGGGTAGCCTAGTGGACATGGCATCTGCCCGGTAAGCGGAACAATGTGGGTTCGATTCCCATCCCTGGACACTTTTATTTTTCCGTTCATCATTACTCTTCACAATTCATCCTTTCATATTTCATCCTTAAGGTTAGAAATAATCTTTATTTCTCCTTAAAATAAATTTCGATTTTTCGTTAAAAATAAACATTTTCGGTATAATTGTTAAACTTCGTTCTACAGTGATCAACTATATCTTCTTTTTTTTTCTTTTTGAATAAAATATATTTATATTATCGGTGTATATATGTGATTATTTAAGACCGTGGAATTATTGTAATATATCCAAATATGAAATACCACATGTGTCATCACGTGAATGTTTATAACTTGTTATTTACTGTAACTATGAAACATCATATAACATCAAGCTGTACCGCTTAAGACTGTAACAAAGTATAGCAACTGTACAGACAGAAAGAATGGAGAATTACAGGAGAAACTTAAGTCTGAACTAATCAGGCCTAGTACGATTAGGAAACGAGGCTTAAGAAACCCTGTCCAAGTTTTACGAGGTCATGGTACTCTTGGCTTATGTAACTCCCCCCCCCCCCCCCCCCCTGATTACGTCATATATATAGTTAAATATATGTATGGAGTGATTCGAGAAAGAGTCGTGAGATGTTGTATGGCAAGTGGTAAAGACACACACAGGAGGCAGGATCCAGGAGCAAAACCCCGTGAGGAGTAGGTCGGAGAGGAAATAGAAGGTATGAGGACCACCCTGGGAACAACTTGCGTGGATTGGTGAGAATTGTCTCCTGATAATCAAATCCAGGTGCTTTTCAAACCCTTCTCAGTAGGTTAAATTAGTCCCCAGAGCAAGGGGGTAAGACGGAAAGTTCCCGAAAATGTTTGTTTTTATAAGGCTGGACATATGGTCACCCAGGGGGTTGTTCTGACCAGGGAATTTTCTCTTCCCTTTCCTCATACTCTCACACAGGTCATCTTTATTTAAACATTTCTAAATGGTATTTTATTTTGGTTGTATCTTGCTGTAATTTAATTTTGAGCCAAAAAATTCATTTTCTTCTTTTAACTTTCTCAATAATCTCTTTTAGGTCTTCTTTGTTTTCTGATAGCAGTGTGGTGTCATCAGCATAGTTAAGGTTATCTATTTTCATTCCTCCAATATGTTCACCTATTTTATCAAGTTCAACTGATCTGATGATATGCCCAGTGTAGAGGTTGAAGAGGAATGGTGATAGTATACAGCCTGGCCTCACTACTTCTCAGAGTTTGAGCCAATCAGTATTCCCATATTTAGATCAAACTGAAGCTTTCTGTTCTGTATATAGCTCTTTTATCAGGACAATTAGTGTGTTCTGGAACTCCCATTAGAATTAGTGTTGTCCATAGTTCCATGAGATTCACCCAAGCCAAAGCTTTGGTAAAAGAGTAAAAGTTACAATTCGATATATAAGGGGATGTGGGTTTATATGATTATAAAGGGAAAAAAATACAATTGATATAATATTCAAAAATAAAAGTTTTATTTTCACATTTATTTATTAAACAGCTCTCTGTAGTTTGTTCCTTGAGTCTAATTCAGATACTATACAATTATATATGAAGTCACTAGAGGATAAGAAAAAAAAAAACATAAATCTGTATAAAAATAAGAATATAAATTAAAATATATAATCACAGATATACAACAGATATTTTTCTAATTAAAATATAAAAATAAGATTTGTGTTCCACTTTTAGTACATGTGTATGTATTAAGAAATAAGAGAGCGAACTTTATTAGAAATTAAAGTTATGAAAATAACGAAATTATTTCATCATATTGATATTATTATTGATAATTATATTATAGATAATTTGCTCGTTTTTAATGTCATTTTTGATAGGTGGGTTCATACAACATGGAAAGGCGGGGGATACTGGCTGAGGACAGTTCCCGGCGGGCGTGGTCATAAGGCATGGAATAAAGGGGCATACTGGGGGTGGAGCAGTGCTACCCGCGGCCGTGGTGGTAGTACCTGGAATAGAAGAGGATACTGGAGGTGGAGCAGAGCTACCGGCGGCCGTGGTTGTAGTACCTGGAATGGAGGAGGATACTGGAGGAGAATTAGAGCTACCGGCGGCCGTGGTTATAGTACCCGGAATAGAGGAGGATACTGGAGGAAGAGCAGAGATACCGGCGGCCGTAGTTGTAGTACTCGGAATGGAGGAGGATACTGGAGGAAGAGCAGAGCTACCAGTGGCCGTGGTTGTAGTACCCGGAATGGAGGAGGATACTGAAGGAAGAGCAGAGCTACCGGTGGCCGTGGTTGTAGTACCTGGAATGGAAGAGGATACTGGAGGAAGAGCAGAGCTACCGGCGGTCCTAGTTGTAGTACTCGGAATAGAAGAAGATACTGGAGGAGGATTAGAGCTATCTTCGGCCGTGGTTGTAGTACCCGGAATGGAAGAGGATACTGGAGGAAGAGCAGAGCTACCGGCGGCCGTGGTTGTAGTACCTGGAATGGAGGAGGATACTGGAAGAGGATTAGAGCTACCGGTGGCCGTGGTTGTAGTACCTGGAATGGAGGAGGATACTGGAGGAAGAGCAGAGCTACTGGTGGCCGTGGTTGTAGTACCTGGAATGGAGGAGGATACTGGAGGAGGATTAGAGCTACCGGTGGCCGTGGTTGTAGTACCTGGAATGGAGGAGGATACTGGAGGAAGAGCAGAGCTACTGGTGGCCGTGGTTGTATTACCCGGAATGCAGGAGGATACTGGAGGAAGATTAGAGCTACCGGCGGCCGTGGTTGTAGTACCCGGAATATAGGAGGGTACTGGAGGAAGAGCAGAGCTACCGGCGACCGTAGTTGTAGTACTCGGAATGGAGGAGGATACTGGAGGAAGAGCAGAGCTACCGGTGGCCGTGGTTGTAGTATCCGGAATGGAGGAGGATACTGAAGGAAGAGCAGAGCTACCGGCGGCCGTGGTTGTAGTACCCGGAATGGAGGAGGATACTGGAGGAAGATTAGAGCTACCGGCGGCCGTGGTTATAGTACCCGGAATATAGGAGGGTACTGGAGGAAGAGCAGAGCTACCGGCGACCGTAGTTGTAGTACTCGGAATGGAGGAGGATACTGGAGGAAGAGCAGAGCTACCAGTGGCCGTGGTTGTAGTACCCGGAATGGAGGAGGATACTGGAGGAAGATTAGAGCTACCGGCGGCCGTGGTTATAGTACCCGGAATATAGGAGGGTACTGGAGGAAGAGCAGAGCTACCGGCGACCGTGGTTGTAGTACCCGGAATGGAGGAGGATACTGGAGGAAGAGCAGAGCTACCGGCGGCCGTGGTTGTAGTACCCGGAATGGAGGAGGATACTGGAGGAAGAGCAGAACTACCGGTGGCCGTGGTTGTAGTACCCGGAATTGAAGAGGATACTGGAGGAAGAGCAGAGCTACCGGTGGCCGTGGTTGTAGTACCCGGAATGGAGGAGGATACTGGAGGAAGATTAGAGCTACCAGTGGCCGTGGTTGTAGTACCCGGAATGGAGGAGGATACTGGAGGAAGAGCAGAGCTACCGGTGGCCGTAGTTGTAGTACCTGGAATGGAGGAGGATACTGGAGGAAGATTAGAGCTACCAGTGGCCGTGGTTGTAGTACCCGGAATGGAGGAGGATACTGGAGGAAGAGCAGAGCTACCGGCGGCCGTAGTTGTAGTACCTGGAATGGAGGAGGATACTGGAGGAAGATTAGAGCTACCAGTGGCCGTGGTTGTAGTACCCGGAATGGAGGAGGATACTGGAGGAAGAGCAGAGCTACCGGTGGCCGTGGTTATAATACCAGGAATTGAGGAGGATACTGGAGGAAGAGCAGAGCTACCGGTAGCCGTGGTTGTAGTACCCGGAATGGAGGAGGATACTGGAGGAAGAGCAGAGCTACCGGTGGCCGTGGTTATAATACCAGGAATGGAGGAGGATACTGGAGGAAGAGCAGAGCTACCGGTGGCCGTGGTTGTAGTACCTGGAATGGAGGAGGATACTGGAGGAAGAGCAGAGCTACCGGTGGCCGTGGTTGTAGTACCCGGAATAGAAGAGGATACTGGAGGAAGAGCAGAGCTACCGGCGGCCGTGGTTGTAGTACCCGGAATAGAAGAGGATACTGGAGGAAGAGCAGAGCTACCGGCGGCCGTGGTTGTAGTACCCGGAATGGAGGAGGATACTGGAGGAGGATTAGAGCTACCGGTGGCCGTGGTTGTAGTACCTGGAATGGAGGAGGATACTGGAGGAGGATTAGAGCTACCGGTGGCCGTGGTTGTAGTACCTGGAATGGAGGAGGATACTGGAGGAGGATTAGAGCTACCGGTGGCCGTAGTTGTAGTACCTGGAATGGAGGAGGATACTGGAGGAAGAGCAGAGCTACCGGTGGCCGTGGTTGTAGTACCCGGAATGGAGGAGGATACTGGAGGAAGATTAGAGCTACCAGTGGCCGTGGTTGTAGTACCCGGAATGGAGGAGGATACTGGAGGAAGAGCAGAGCTACCGGCGGCCGTAGTTGTAGTACCTGGAATGGAGGAGGATACTGGAGGAAGAGCAGAGCTACCGGCGGCCGTGGTTGTAGTACCCGGAATGGAAGAGGATACTGGAGGAAGATTAGAGCTACCGGCGGCCGTGGTTGTAGTACCTGGAATGGAGGAGGATACTGGAGGAAGAGCAGAGCTACCGGTGGCCGTGGTTGTAGTACCTGGAATGGAGGAGGATACTGGAGGAAGAGCAGAGCTACCGGCGGCCGTAGTTGTAGTACCTGGAATGGAGGAGGATACTGGAAGAGGATTAGAGCTACCGGTGGCCGTGGTTGTAGTACCTGGAATGGAGGAGGATACTGGAGGAGGATTAGAGCTACCGGTGGCCGTAGTTGTAGTACCTGGAATGGAGGAGGATACTGGAGGAAGAGCAGAGCTACCGGCGGCCGTAGTTGTAGTACCTGGAATGGAGGAGGATACTGGAGGAAGAGCAGAGCTACCGGCGGCCGTAGTTGTAGTACCTGGAATGGAGGAGGATACTGGAAGAGGATTAGAGCTACC